AAAAGTCCAGGTTTGGCCGTATATGCTTTGTAGTGACTGTTGAGGTGAGTAGTACCAATACCTTTTTGTCATGTCAATCGTTTTTAACAATACTTAAATATTGATTTAGACTCTACGACTCCAACGACTATATGACCCGTTGGAATCAATTTAAAGTGATCCCAACATTTTGCCTATTTTTCCTCTTTCGCTTCCCTCTTACACGGGAATATCTAATTCTTATTCATCTTCATGTCCCACTTTGGGAACATCAACGTCATCCAATTGAATTACTTCCATGAGCATCCAAATCTAGAATATTTTCGAGAAAGAGTACTTCGTTTAGACTGAAAATTCATTCTAAAATTGACATTGCAGCGTCATAGGTAATTCGCCTCTAATACCGAACAACTCCTCAACAAATGAGTTTTGATCCATTTGTGAATTGCAATAAAATGTATAGTAAGTAATTAAGTAAGTAAATAAAAAGCATGAAAAAAAATCAAGAATTGAAAGAAAGTTGATGTGTAAGATTGTAATTGTAAATTTGTAGTGTGATAATTGATATTGAATAATTGAAATTGAAGGTAGAAATGAAAATGTAGTAGATTGTAGAAAGTGGAAGAGAATGAAATTTGTTGAAATGTTATGTGAAAAAAATTGAAAATAAGTTGGGGTATTTATAAAGTAAAAACAAAAAAGAAGGAAAAAATAAATCAATAAACTGGCCAAAACAGCCACTTTTCATAGATCAATGACCGAAAAAAGTGACCGTTTTGGTCACTGTTAATGAGAGCCACAAGCCCACGAGCTATTCCTAGCTCGTGGGCAAGCCGACTGGGTTTGGCATGCCAGGCGAGTCAACCTGCTCGGCTCGTGCTATTTGACGAGCACAACTGCCCACGAACCTCTTTTCCATGAGTCGACCGACTGAGCCGACGAGGTGCTCGGCCCATTTGACACCACTACATTAAAAAGAGCATGGCCCTGTACATGTATAATTTTTCAAACAATCATGTTTGGTGTATAACAGGGATGACAAATTTGTTTACAAAATGCTATGTGACATTATATTATTGAATAATTTAAACAAAAAGTTATTTTTACAATCAACTATTTTAATCAACACATCGTGTTGTCATTTTAGATTGTTCAAATAGCAAAATCACTACAATATAAAAGAGGCAAAAACTTGGCCGCCACGTGTCGCAATTTCCCATTGTCGTAAATGCTTTTTTTTTTTTTCACGCATCTCCTCCTCCTCACGCAACCAATCCCATCTTCCATTTTCACACGCAATTAACTTCATCCATACCGCTCCCATCATTTGTCAATCCACTACCGTTAATTCACAAGCGTCGAATTACCGTGTCTACGGCTTCCTGTCAATGCCTTCACTACCGATTCTCTTCCATTGCTTATTCCCAACAAATAAACTCCAGAGACTAACACCTCAGGTTTGTATTAGATTTTCCCCTTTCTGCATTTGATAATGTTGTCAGTGGAAAGATGAAACTTAAGGGGAAGGCTCTGGATGTGAAAGCAGGTGGAGTGAAGAAAAAGAAGAAGCAAAAAAAAAGCACTACGAGCAAATTTCCGAGGTCTCAGAAAATGAGTTTCGAGAAGGTTAGTTGAACTTATTGGAAAAAGCCTGAAAGTAAATCCTTCATATAGGCAAAACAACTTAAATCAATTTGTGGAATGTTAATAGCTAAGGTTGGGGCACATTTATTTTATTTCTCTGTGTCATTGTATGTTTTAAATTCATTTAACCACTTCTCTTTTTGTCTAAGTTGAGTAATGGTAACTTATGTAGCCAATCTACTCCAATCATTGGTTTGTTTAGTTGTGTCCGTTGAAGTTATTGGTGTGACCGTTTTATAAGTTATAACAACTAAATTGTGAGGACAATGTTTGGGGAAGGATAGTGGAGAAAAAAGGCTTGTTAAGAGTTGAAGTTTTTATTAAATAGTCTCAACCTGTTACATGATCATCTGTTCCTAGATAATATGACATTGCTTTTCATTTGAATTGCATTTTATTGGTAAGTCTTAAATGATTAACCATCATTACATTTTTTTTTTAGACTTAAAAAAAACATTGTCGATTGCCTTAAGAAACATTGTTATTGGTAGTAAAAAAAAATCGTGCACGGAGGCAGACAGAGGTGTCTCCGTGCGTGCACATGGAATCCATGTGCCTCCGTGCACGATATTTTTTATTACAATGCTACTAATAACTTTTTTTTTCTTTTTGTCTCCTAATGTACTTTTTCTCATTTTTCTTTTATAATTGATTAATTTATGTTCTAAAAAAATGTGTTTCAAATTGAAAGATACAACCCAGAATTCAAAAAAATGGCTGGCTATGTTGGAGTGTTTGTGTCGGATCCAAGGCTTCAGAACCAATTCATTCAAGTAAAGCACCCGAGCTTGAGCTTAAGTTTTTAATCAAATTCGTAAGTTTTTTCATTATAATTTTCTTTTAATTTGCTTGGTTACATGTGACATAAATGGAATTTTTTTGTGTTCTTAAATTCATTATTTTATCTTCTTTTCTGTGCTTTAGTTTGTTTCTTGAATATGTTCTTTTGAAAGCAAAATTTAAATAGAAATTTTAGGGAGCTAAGAGTTTTGAGAATTCGTACAATGCCCCTAAAAATAGTCTAGAGGACATGGATAAATTGGTGAACAAGTGAGCTCTTGAGCTCGAGGTAAATATCTTGAAATCCCATGTCTTCAGACTTCAATTGTCATTTCTATAATTTTTAGACTATTTTGTGTTTCAGTATTCACATTTAGCTATGTCTCCACCAGTGCCACCGTCTACATGGGAATAGTCCATAAGTGGAAGAAGAATTGGGTCAATATGCCATCCTCCAATTCCAACCAAATGGCAACGAACACATCGTTAATGGCTCATCCCACCTCTTGCTCTACAAGTGGACTCCAATCTAAAAGAAAAACAATAACGACACTAACATTAATGATAATATTAACAGCAATATGATGACTCCAAGAATTCCAATACAGATGACTCCGTCGTTGTAGTGGAGCCACCCTAGCGTAAATTCAAATATATTCCAGTACTTTTCTGTCGGTTTACTTCTTACGGTCTTTGTTAACTTAATTTTGCATTTTCGGTTGTGCATAATATGTTTGTAATCGATCTGTGAGGTGTGGATTTCTTTCTGTAAATTTGAAATTAAGTAGGATGTGGGTGATTATCACAATCTTATTTACGATGAATTCTTCTTTACGGTGAATTGTGGTTTAGGGTTCTAAAATAGATTAAAAAAAAAAAAAAGTGAACGGTGTTTTGGGGTACTACTTTTATATAGGAATTGAAAGAAATTGAAAATCTTTAGCGTTCGGAAGGTTTGGTTAAAGGGTCTCTGGCGGAGGAATTCAAATATCTAGTTGATTTAAATTAAAGGGTAGCTGATTTTCTTAAATGCCTGATTTAAATTTTTTGTTTTCCAGAGGGGAGTGATTGACGCTTGTAGATTCCCAAGATAGTGTATATTTCACTTCTTTCCTTGCCAATGTGGGGATCTTAATGGCAAAAGAGAACGAGGATGAATTGCACTTATAGAGCAAAATCAACGAGTAGTTGTGAGGCTAATAGATTAAAGTTTGATGACTAATATGAAACAAACTTATAAATTAAAGTTCAATGACCAATATTAAACCACTTAATTCTTCTCCAACTGCTCCTCTATCTTCTTTGTGTTCTCAAGAAGAAAAAATTTGTCAAAATTTGATTTTCTTAACTATTGTTTTCTCTGTAGATATCTTTTTATTTCTAATGCTCTGTCTGATGATTTGTATAGACAAAATAGTGCTGCTTCGTCTTTTTCTAATGGTAGTGTAAGAGGGAGAGAGGGATTTGAAGTGAAGTGGTTGAAATAGGAAAATGTTGTATCAAGGGTTAGAGATGAAGATGAAGACGAAGATGGCCCCCATGGAAGTTCGTTTTGTTGTGTTCAATACTTCATATCTATGATTTCATAGTTGAGTTATGATATAATCTTGATTTACCATTTGGAAAGACATTAATGTGTGGTCTTGTTGGCATTTCTCTATCAAATGGAGTAATCCCTCAATCCCCAATGCATACAAAATGTCTAGCTACTTCCACTGGCCTCCGTGCACGATATTTTTTTTTACAATGCTACTAATATTGGAACATGTGCTAATAATCTATTTTAAGCTCATAGTCAGTCAAATAGCAAAAATCTTGGTTCATTGCGCAATACTATTTGCCTATTAATTGTTGTTGGATGCTTGCTAGGTTGTATCAAATGGGAAGTTGATTGTTGTTGGATATTTCAGGAAAAAAATAACTCATTCATACTTCATCAGATGAAAGAAACCATCAACCAACATCAATTTCAAAATAAAATCACTTTTATCTTGTCGACGATAATCAACTAACGTGCAATGCACGTTCTCTTCACTAGTCCTTTAAAAAAAAGAAATCTAACTGGTAGGACCAACTCACGGTGGAGTTGACAATAGGTGTCGCATACTCGCACTGTAGCACAACTGGCATGTATTTGCTGTCTAAGGCATACAAACCTTTCACTTATATAAACCCCTAAAACCCTAACATATAGCTGGCCGCCCATAACCTTCTCTTTCATCCTTTCTCTAACGCCACCCTCAACATTCCCCCTTCTTTCTCTCGTGTTTACATCCAATCAAGATTCGATAACCATATGATCAAATAAAAAGGTGAGAGCTTGATGACTTCTATAATACTATATCACCAAGATTTTTGCGTGTGTACATATCTTGATTATTTACACATACACAACACAGTTTCTGGGTTCTACCAGTTATCATTTATGTATGCAGACTAAGGGATAGACCTCAAAACTTGTGGGTTCTTTGTAATGTTGTCATATTTTCGACCTTAGATCATTACAATAGACATCGAGCATCAAAATCTGTCAATGTATCACGTTATATAAAATGCCTTCTTTTGTTGTGATCCAGAAGGTGGTTATTTGATTAATAATGGATTCAGAGGCTTCCAAAGCCAATGCACCGAGGAAGGTATGATTAATAGAATCAGTTTGATTGTTCCCTTTCTTAAATTTAAGATAATTGGGTAAATTATTGATTGTTATGAATTTCTGCAGGTGAGATTTGCACCCAAAGCTCTTCCCAAGAAAGCACAAAAACCCATTTTACCTAAAGTGTAATTGTCTTCGACCTAGTTTAATCATTATAATTTGACATCCTTGTTCTTATCAATGACTTACTTTTAACTTGTGTTTTTGATTGATTTGTTTATTCTTCAGGGAAAAGGTCGAAAATGATATTGATGCTGCTCAGGCACAGGATTTGTTACTCCGTTTCAATGTAATTTAACTTTCCGTATTTCGATTTCTTTTGCATACGATGATTTTTGTATTGGTTTACCTTTTGCCTTTTCTCTTGTGTAACAATTACTACAATTTCTTTTCTTCCAGGAATCATCTATGAAGGCAAATCCAAAATATGAAAGGAAAGGTAAACAGCTCTGTCTAAATTAATTACATTTGGATATAATAACAATGTTACCCTCTGATTGAAAGAAAAGACTAGCATTTTTATGGTCTCATGGCATGTCTACTAATCCAAAATGTGTTGTGTCTGATTCTATTTCTTACCTTTTGCAACTTGAAACTTGTGTACAATTCCAATACCTATAAATGCATGCAGCTCATTTTATAAGCAGAGGCACCCTCAATTTATTGGCCCTTTCCGAATTCAATAATACTTCTGATCTCTAGTCTCTCAAATTTGTAGTGGTTAATACATGTACCTCTCTTTTGCAAAATTCCGTGCCATCAATTGATTGACAGAATCCTAGATTGAAACTGGTTAACTTCTAGGATTTTAGTCTACTTGCAGACAGAGCAACATAACCATGTTGTATCCTTTCTTCAGCAATAGCAATTACCCTTACTGGCATGCACTTAAAAAGATGAATAATGGCCTTTCATTCTTACTTGTACAATGTCTTCCAATTAAAGTTGAATATAGTTATTATAGAGAATTTTTGATCAACATGCCTTATGTTGTAATTGCCTTTTGCAACTGCAGTTGGGCATACTCAAGTTGCATTCGGTTATGGACGTTCCTCAGCTTCCCTCAAGTCATATGGTGCTGCAAAGCATATTAATAAGAAAACGGGATCATCTTCTGATGGCAAGTGAAAATTCTTAGCTGTAGTTTTCTTCTATATGTTGAACTAGATTTTATCTCATGAGTCTTCGTGCAGGCGGTGATGATCAGCAGAGAGTGGGGAAAGAGTACAAGGAACCATGGGTAAATGATATATATGAAGAAAATTTCTGATTCCATAAGACTAAAGCCCCTGTACCTATATGATCCTTACTGTTCTTTGGATGCTACTGCAGAACTATTACTCTTATTATCCTTCACAGCTTCCCTTAAGAAGGCCATATTCAGGAAATCCAGGTTAGTTTCCTGTTTGAATCTAGAAAATCATGTTTTCTACAAAGAAGAAAATTAGTAGACACTTTCATATATATAATACCAATTTTATAAATTATTCATGCTTCTGTTGCTATATTTTACTAATCTCATCCCATAGTTATTTGAATTGGCTTTGATGGGATTACATGCATTTTCCTTGTCCTTAATGCAACACTTTGTTATGTTATTTGTAGAACTCCTTGATAAAGAAGAATTCGAGGACGATTCGAAAAAATCAGTTGATGATGAATCCGCAACAAATCCAGCTCTAAAGCTTGGTCTAATGGTTGGTTATCTTCTAGAATAGGAAGAATGGATTCTCATAAAAAGTAAAAACACACAGACAACATAAATTTCTTCTTATTTTAACAAAAATGGTTTGCTGCAGGATAATCTGGAGGACAGCATGTTTTTTGTTCAGTTACCAACAGCCATGCCAATGACAAAACCGTGCAATAATGCAGAGGGCCGTGAGCAGGGGAGCAGTACCAATCAAGTTAAAGGTGCTCGACCATCTCAAAAGCCATGTAACATGGAAGCATTACCAGCAGGCTTCATGGGTAAAATGTTAATATACAGGAGTGGTGCTGTGAAGTTGAAGCTTGGTGACACACTATGCAATGATTCAAACGACGTATTATTATATTGTGCTGAGAACCGTAAGAAAGAGTTATTTAGTATAAACGGTTAGAACGAGTTACCTAAGAAGTTATTTGTGTTAGTCATAGTGAGAGTCTTTTCACTTTGATGACTTTTCATAAAAGTTTGCTGCATAATAATATAACACGACTCTTGGCATTCTTTCTCAATAAATCATATTTGCCAATCTTGCTCAATGGATTCTTCAATAAACACAATCAGTATCACTCTCAGAAAAGTGAAACTACTGAAAAGTATTGGACAGCTAAATAGTAAACCACTGTTTTATTTCTTTAGATAGGGCACTTCGTAGTTAGAGTTTTTTTCTTTTGCTTTCAGTTTTGGAGTTGTCTTGATTGTCCAAATATCTTAATTACTACCAATAAAAGCTATGAAATCATGGATTAAGCTCGAGATAGCTAATTTTTGAAGTGGATACAGGTATCTGCAGGTTTGGATTGTGTGTTTGCTCAAGATGTTGTTGCCATCAATACAGAAGAGAAACTTTGTTGCAATGTGGGCGAACTCAACAAGCGAGTTGTTATAACCCCTGATGTAGACACCATCTTAGATAGTATGTCTGATATATGATTTTTTTTTTTGGTGTCCATTGGCAATGACAATTTTGGTCATAAATGGAGTCATAGTCACATTCGTTGACAATACTAAATAAGGATATTCCGTAAAATGTATAATTTGAACCGTCGATAATTATTTGTATACAAAAAAGAAGATGAAAAATAAATTATAAGTTGTCTATGTTAAATAAATAAATGTTGCAGTGAAATGCTCTGGCCTCTCTAGGCTGATTGCCAAAATATAGATCGAGTGTAGTTGACATTCCTGAACATGTTGAATGTATAAACTTCATTTCACTGCAATTTCTCCAGTTTATATTTAATGCACCAAACATGCAAATGAATGAGGTTGTTTTTTTTTTTTTTAAATTCGTTGACGCCTGTAATATAAATGTGGAAGAATATAATGCGAGCTTGTATGTTTTGGGATTTTGAGGACTTGCCAAAAGTTTGCTATTTGAAGAACACAATACTTCTCTTGATATGAAATCACGTTATTATTGATAGAAAGATACTTCACGGAAAGCATTTATATATGTTCAAAATGGCTTGCATGACTATTTAAAGTGGGTGCAATATGATTTGATCTTCATGTTGCAGGGGCGGAGCCTCGAATTTTTGTTGCAGGGGCGGAGCCTCGAAAAGTTTATGAATATAATACATATATAACAAAATGGGCAGTGTCCAATTGTGCAAATGAAATTCAAATACTTTTTAATGAGGAGTGTCGTTTTGACTGTCAGATCATACCACGTTACAACTTGGAAATGATATGGAAGATAAGGTCTTCCCTCAGCAGCGAGCACATGGCAAAATTTGATTGATTACTTTTTCGCGGTTTGTTAAGATGGCAAAGTAGAAATTCTTCAGTAAGCTAGTGTACAAATTGTTATGAGGATGAGTAGGTGCACCAAGCAGAATGAGGGAGTTTTATGTTCAACAGCAATGTAGCTAGATTTGGTATGAAAGAGTTTGTCGTAGTCACATTCTTGCGATGTGGTGCTCCAACGCAAGGTGAAGAAGTACGGCTCCTGAAAAGAACCCGAAGGCAGAATAAGGATTACTTTGGTGCGCAAAAGGTTCTAAAAATCAAAGAATTGGTGGTAGCTTTCGACATATGCATACATCCCACAAATACAAACTAAAATTTGTCATTTGTCTACATTAAATGCATACTTATGGAAAGACAAGTCCTACAACCTTCTCCAATACTCCGTAATGCCAAGGAATTGCAATGAGAAAATTTGACGAACTTCTTCGCAAACTAGGACATCCATACAAATATATGCTTCTATGGTTCCCATTGGCGTTGCAAGTACTTTTTCCCCATGTAATGTTGAATATCACTTCCGCACGATTAAACTCTTATTCCTAGTTTATTTTTGTTCATTGTAACTACTAAAAATTAAGGACAAGATTTTATGACACCTTAAGAAGTAGCAATTACAACACTAGAAAAATACAAGAAATTTGGCAAAGGAAAAGAGAATTCACAATAATATGGAGAAAGAATACAAATATATTCTATTTACAATGTTATCTAACTTGTAAGAAGAGCCAATTATATAGAGGATACATTGTCAAACTCTAATTATAGTGTTAAAGATATAAAGAATACAAAAAAATAAACGCGCAGAATAATGAAAACAATCTTCGGCCAGAACACAACGATGCTCGAGTGCCAGTCTATCACTGAGTGAGCAACAGGTTGATGGTGAGCCAGCACCAAGCTTCCTGCTTTGAGTGCTTGAGCGGGAACTTAAAGCGCAGTTAGCGAAAAATGCCGAAATCATTCATTGGTCCATATTTTGACATCTTTAAGGAACAAATTTGGGTCAAACTTCAACAGTAACTCAGTATTATGATGTCGAAGATATAGGCCTAAAAAGGCTATCCCAGTGTTGAAGCTACGCTACGCAATTGTACCACAATTGCACTGTGATGTCATCTTAGATTTCTTGAAAGAAAACCTAGTAATAATTCCCATTCCACTTGAGCATTATTAGTTGTATACCCTCTTCTTTATTCAACTCAACGTTTGCGCACCAATTGTTTTTATTCTCGAAAATGCACTTTGTTGTGTAGACAACTCTGGAGCTAATATCAAGCATCGTGTAATGTACTATAAGAAGATTGCAACGACAAAGGAAGATCCAGATCCCCGTGTTGATGGGATCGCAAGTGCTTCTCTCGTGCTATCAAGTAGGCTATATTTGGCCGTGTATAATCCATTAAGTACATTAGGCTCCCAATTATCTAGGAATACTTTTAATTGTTGTTTACCATTTTCTAATATTCTTGTGATGAACTACAGAAGTAGAAAATGGATTATTAAACTCATTAGTATCATGGATCTTAAATCTTTCAATCATTTTTTCTATATAATGTTATCCCATTTAGTCTCTAATATGAGCATGACACAAAGACAAACCAAAACACATGCTTCTCTGAAAATGTCTTCGAGTAAACATATTTATCACATTCGTTTATGGTGAATTCATTCCTGATGTCAAACTTCTCATGCCATAGTTTAGGAGATTACTTCAATCATATAGGGAATAAACAAGTGTACAAACTGTGTTCTTGTTCTTTTACTTCGAACCTTTCTAATTGTTTCATATAAACTTTTTCATTTAATTCACTATTTAAAAATGCAATCTTTACAATCTGATGTATTTGCAATTTATATAAGGTTGTTGAAGAAATTAAAACTTGAATAGAAGTATCCTTGTTACAGGTGAATAAGTATAAAAAAGTCAAATCCTTATTTTCGACGACATCCTTCCTTTCAGAATAAATATTTTAGGCTAGTCATAACCTCCTTAAATATTAAGGCTCGTTTTCAATTATAAATGATTCAAGTCTGGATCAAATGATTTAGCAACGTTTGTTCTTTTACTCCTTTTTGATTCAGATTCTTTATTATTTTCAAAAGTATCATCACTTTTCCTTTATCCAATATTCTCATTAGTATCATTTTTATTAGAAAACACACTTTCAAAGAATTTGACATCTCTGAACTCAATAATTGTATTGACATGAATATCACTTTTGTTCAATTTATGCACAAGAAATATGTATGTACTACTAATTATTGCATATTCGATTAAAATACAATCAACAGTTTGAGGACCTAACTTTTCCTTTTACGAGGTGGAATAGCTTTTGAGTATTTATAGAAAAATATTTTGCCTTTCCACGATTTACAAAAGTAATAAACCAATTTTCTTACGAGGAATTCCATTTAGAATAAAGTTAGCAATTAAAACTGTTTCCCTCACAAGTACTGCAATAAGCCAGAACTAATAAGTATATTGTTAAACATGTCTTTTAAAATTCTATTTTTCCTATCAGTAACTGAGTATATCGAGCGATCATTTGGTGAACAATACCAAAAATAGAACATAATTCATAACAAAATGGTGAATTCGTATTCACTGCTTCTATCTGATCTTCTTGCCAAGTTGATTTTCAACTTCATTTTTATACGTAACGAATGCATTCAACGCCTCATCTTTGCTACTTAATAAATAAACATGGCACTACCTACTGTGATCATCAATAAACGTGATAAAATATTTTTTACNGTCTGCATATTTCACAATCTTCCTTGTCTGAATATTTATAAACGTGATAAATATTTTTTATTAGTTCAAGTTTGAACAAATTTCAAATTATATATATCGTTATGTATCAATCCTAATGGTTCATTATTTATTTCAAATAAACTGAGATGTTTTTTTAGTAAATTTTGCTTCAACACAAATTTCACATTTTTGTTCATTTTTTTTTATTCAAGTTAAAGTATAAGTCATAAACTTACTAATTTTACTTAATGAGGTACAATTAACATGTCTTAATCTACTATGTTATAAAAAAGAAGACTCAAGCAAATAAATAGAATAATTGATTTTATTATTAACTTGTAGATACAGATATGTGGATATATTGTTCACTACAACAACATTAGCCTTAGACATGCCATCAGGTAAAAATCTCTTTCTCGACATACATGCACTTTTAGTAATTACAATTTTATATGATTCAAACACCACTCAGAATCCCTTCTTACTGAGTATAGAACCTAAAATCAGATTCTTCCTAATTTTTAGGACATGCATAACATTGTTCAACATCAACTCTTACATACAAGTGAATTTCAGAATAACCTTTCTAATTTCTTCTATTTTAGATGAAGCAGAGTTGCCCATACTGAGATGTGCATCATGATCCACCATCTTGTACTCGACAAACTCACTAATCATTGATATTTGGTATCAAGCTAACTTCAGATGCAACTGCAAATAAGTTAATATCGACAATGTCAACGGACATGTTATCTACTTTAGTTATATTTTACCTGTGAAGGATTCTTCTTATGCACATCATTTTTCTTGCAACGACAACCTTTTGCATTATTCCTCTTTCCTTTATCTTTAGACGAGATGTGATGCTTTATCTTTTTACTTTTAGAGCTGGAGTCTTCAATCATATTAGTCTTTGCTTCCATGTTTTGATTAGAACTATTCTTTTCTGCATCCTTTTGTCTTCTTCAATGTGAAGTCAAACAATTAGATCCTCTATTGTCATCTTTTTACCCCTTTTTCTTGAAAATATTTTCTAAGGGGAGGTAGTTTCCCATTCATAGCAGCAACTAGAAAGATTTACTCAGTTTCATTCCCTTTGCCTCAATATCATGAAAAAGAATTTGTATTTCTTGAATTTGACTCATAACTTCTTTGAATCAACCATTTTGAAATCTCGAAATTTGCCGACGAAGAATTTCTTTGTTCTGGTTTATTCTATCTTGTAATTTTTATCAAGAGATTCTCATAATTTCTTAACCGCCTTATAAGAATAATACATATTGCACAATGTGTTATTTAACCCATTGAGAATGTAATTCCGATATAAAAAATTAGCATGCTTTCATACTTCAATTGCCAATTGAGTACTTTAGTCAATAGCATTTGCTTCTATCTGGTCATTTTAGTCCATAGCATTTGCTTTTATAAAATTCAAAGTAGTCAAGTAGAACAATATCTTCTGTTCCCATCGCTTCAGTAGCTTGCTCAGTTAAACTAGTCATTTTTTTGTAAAATAAAAATTATAGAAAATTCGATCAATATTAAATTATTGAGACTCTGTAACAAAATTAGGTTAAAAAGAAATCTAAAAGGAAGTTTATTATGTCATAAAATTGTTTTCAAAATTAATGACTTGTACAATGAAAAAGAAAAAGTAGAAACAGAGATGAAGCGAGGTGTACTGTACAGAATCTCCTTGAGATATATTTTGTCCCTTACACAAGTATCAACAGGATTATAGAAAGTCTTTTTCTCACAATATACAACGCTCATTCCAAAATCGATACTATACTATATTAACCATGTTGGTTAAACAAAAGTGTTGATAGTATTCTTCTTGAATAGAATAGTCTCGATCTTAAAATTAATTGGATGAAATTTTATTTTTGAAAGTAATTCAAACTAAATTATAATTCAGCAAAATAAAAGGACTAGAATTTTTAAAGAGAGGAGAAAAATAGAAACCAATTGATATTGAATTGACTAGGTGTAGGAAATTGGAATTGGAGGTTCCTTTATATAAATTTTCAAGTTTCTTTTGATATAAATTAATGTGTACTATTAGATCACACATTTTCATATTTAACAGTCTAGATTGCAACTTTTCAAAATGTCGCGACTTTTCACTTGCACTTTTTGAATAGTCACACTTAGCCCCTGTTTGAGACACATTAAAATTTTCATTCTCATTCTTCTATTCATTTTCAACCACATTTTTTCAATAAAATAATATTTTC